CTATCGGTGGGACAGGAGAGCACTCGTAACCTATCTTAGGTCTCTACGTCCTGAGGTTCCGAAGAGCCCTTTGGGCCCGAGGGAGCGACGATCAAGGGTCCGATCGAAGGGCCCAAAGGGCAAACCGGGGGGATGAAGAGACATCAGCCAGTTGGCAACACCGAACACTCCGGCCCGCGCCGGCCTGGGCCCCTTGGGCCTCTTTCCCAAGTCGGGCAGGGCTGGGCCTGCAAGTGTTAATACGGAAGATCGTTCATGGGTCTGGTTCCTGTGCTGATCAGGGGCTCACAGTGCCCAACAAGTGGCTCCGTGTCGGCAATAGGTCAAAGTCGGCCATGCGCACATTCGCTGAATAGGGACAGGAGCGGGGTGTCGAGCGTCAAAAGGCCTCTTGCGTTGGTCAGGGCCCTCTTGACAATGACAGGAGATATGAGAAATGATGATGCAACGATTTGTACTCACAATCAGCCAGTGACCTGTGCCGGTCAGAGGGCGCGGGACCGAACGAGGGGCCCTCCGCACCGTTTCAACCAGGAGGCAGGCGTCGATCAGTCGAATTGGTGCCTCTGTGCCAATTAGGCATTGGACTCCCTGTGCCGGTTATGGATCCTCTCGCGTCAGTGACGTGTCTCTGGGTTGATCCTGTGTCAGATGCCCAGGTCTGAGGGCCTGTCGCATCAGGGATGGAACTGGTGCATGATGTACCCCTCTGAAGTCCCCCGGATTGGCCGGAGCACCCTGGTCCCCGTATCGCCAGAACAGCAGTTTCTAGGTACCCCGGGCTGGGACCAAAGGGCCCTTCAGCTCCTCACCAGGAGGGTTCACGTAGACGATTTCGAGGCAGATTCTCAAAACGGAATAAGCAGTTACAGTACCACCAGCAACTAAGATTATGCCATCTCGTCATGAGTCTGTGGTACTGCTGTACATGCTAAAACAAAATGAAAATGCGTAGGCGGCAAATGCGTGCGAAATACGCACGCATTGCATATTGCGTGTTGTGTATGCTACGCGTAACAAGACATACTTCTTTTGCGAGTTATCACTGTTTTATGCTACAAATATCTTAAATTTGGAGTGGAAGACGACTTACGTTCCGGGTACGCATTACACCTAATATTATTTTTAAAATATGGCACTGATGTTTATGCATCGCCCGTGTCATATTCCTTAACAAAAATGCAAGAAATTTGCGTACCCCTTGAAAGCACTGACAACATGTAGCACAATATTTGGAGGTTTTCTTGTTAAGAACACAAACCACGCTACTCACATTCCAGGGAACTGACCGCATGATTTACTTCGAGAAAGAATACCGCGTCAAAAGTCTACGAATTGCAATAGCTTCGCCGCTTTCGGCTACCACCACCAGCATTTCAATAGTCACTTCATGACGTCACTAGATTGGCATTACGAATTAGATAATGTGTACAAGTTATTGCTTTTAGGTTTACTCAGTCACCGTAGGGTTTGACTACCCGCGGTGTCCGCCCTTCCTGCCAGGATGAGAGATAGGTGTCGCCATATAGTTCCAGAAGTGTCATGAAGTCCCGATGACGCACAAATATTCACTGTGAGGTAAGCGACTTGCAAAATGCAGTCTTTCGCGTGTTTCGCTTTGCGTAAGTTATTAGGTATTATTTTAAGTAAGTGCCTTTCTTTTACACTAAACTGTAAGTCCCTACAAAATCTTACATTATCTTTACTTCAAAGAACTGACAGGAGCATCGGGAGCCAGACTCCGCATTATGAAGGCCAAACAAAATATACTGTGGGCCAGCCAAATATTGGGCTGGGGAGGGGGCAGCCCAACATTGAGCGGCCCAGTCCAACATTGGGGGTCATGGTAAGTCAACATTGGAGGGCCACGCCCCCCCCCCATTCAAAGAGATACAAAGCTCCACCCCTGACAGGTGGTCATGTCTCGGCTAGTAGCCCCTAGTCGACCACGGACTTTGTTTGAGGAGGATCAGATCAAGGGCTCGATCGGACTCGAACCCGCCCCTCCCCCCCCCCCTCACCCGTCATGTCACGATCTGAGCTGTCAGTCGGACTTCTACTAGGTTCCTCTTATTAAGGTTCTCCATTCCCATTAAACAGGGCTTGACACGGAACGAAACAGTCGGCTCATGTCCGTCTGAGCTCTTGAGGCCCGTTTCCCGATTCGGCCAGGAATGCAGTTTGAAGGGTCCGAAAAGAGGCCGAATGGTCTCTTGAGATCAAAGATCAACGGCCCGGTTAGAAGACTAAACGGCCCAAAGGGCTGTGGCTGTGGGTCACATTAAGGACCCCACCCGTAGGGCCGTGATCTCAAATATCATTTAGAGACCCTCTTGCACCGATTGGGAAACTCTGAGGGAGCGTATTCCTCTGTTTCGACCAGAGATCACCAGCACCAAACGGCCGGCCCCGTGTCGGTCTGAGCTCTGGGGGCCCATTTCCCAAGTAGGGACACGGCCGGGCCCGCAATTTGCATTGGTCAGGACTCTTGTGACAATGCGGGGCTCCTAGGAAGATGTGCTCAATAGGGACGGGGACGAGACCCTGAATGACAGGCGCCTCTTGTGTTGGTCGGGGCCCTCTAATAATGAAAGGGAATGTGACAGGTTATGGTGATTGTCACATTGAGGCAATGGAAGAGTCCTTTGCCAGTCAGGGTCCCAGTAGCGAACGTTTGGCCCTCCAGCCCAACTCCAATATGGGCCCTTTACGCCGAAGTGGGGTACATGTGCCAATTATTGGACCATCTGCGGCGATCAGAAATGTTGTTGCGTCAATGAGGGTTCCTGTGTCGATCCAGGGTCAACTGCGGTCTGCGCGGGTCAGAAGGCCTCCCGCGTCAGGGAGGAGACCAATGTGATATGATGTATCCCTCCAACGGCCTCCAGATCGGCCAGGTGATCCCGTCCCATGTCGCCAGAATAGCAGCCAAAAGACATCCCGAGGTGCAACGGAACGACCCTTCAGGCCTTAACCAGAACCAGTAGTGTACTCACTGGTATTCTTATCAAGGGGGGGGGCATCCCCGGCAAGAAACAAGGGGCCTAATCAATGTTAAGAAGAGTGGATCGAAATGAGTTCGAAAACGAAGAGGCCATCCCATGTTTACCCAATAACGTTTATCCTTTTGCAGAATCGACCAGAGAAACAAATTATCAAAAGGTTTGAGACTGCGCGCCCGCAATAGCCGAAGCAAGGATAGGGATAGCCTAGGTTGCAGTTTCCGTAAAACCGAACGGCGCTTGTCACTGCAAATACCAGCAGGCGGCGGGTGCAGTGCGCTGGAGAGCGAACGTCGTGGAATAATACTCCCGAATGTCTTAAAAAATAATCCGTAACCATAGAGGTCCTACCTTTACTCATCTAGTTGTACCGCCACGTTCCAACAGCGCTTTTTGGTGCTGTTAAGGCGGCCGTTCAATTAGCGATCTAAAAAACGCGCAGATGAAATATATGCCTGGCTACCTCCTCCTATGTACGGTTTGGTGTCGTACAGCGTACAAGTGCTTCTGCCCAATGTATCATCATCTTAATCCGCCCGGCGACCACAACTGTGTTAGCCGCCAAACTGGCGCCGAGCGGCCTAGGGAGACTGCAACGCCTGGCGTCAAGATTTTTTGTTGCAAGATTTGCGAGCGCGCGTGCTTTTTTGCGCGCGCGTTACGTAATTGGTATCACTAACCAATTCTAGCCGAATGTTGAACATGTCAAGACAAGCATGGCTTGGCCATGATAAAACAAATCGTTGACCCATTTCGATCTACGTTCGCAGAGTTCTTAATATCCGTGTACAGCCCAGGCAAGATTCTAACGAAGCTTCTGAGTTTTATCGGTTTAGAAAACTCCACTGGACGATTGTGAAACGAGAGGTACTGATCACTGATTTCGTGCAGTTGTTAAACGCATGATTTCTTCCGTTGATCGACTATAAGATTCAAACAGAATTGATCTTGCGGTAGCTTTTGGGTTCTATTCCAGTTATGCCAGGTAAAAATGAAAACAAAAAACACGATCTCGAAAAAATGCATTATATTCGGGTTTTGTTTTGTTTCGGGGGGGCTTCTCACTATCTGGGGGCCCTTTGTGAACCCTGAGCCCCTCCCTTGCCAAGGCCCTGGCCGCGCACCTGTTCTGAGATATAGGGGCCCGTCGGTTGGGGGGGGGGCCTTCGTTAAGTCTTTGCTCTCCCCCGACTAGAAGTTGGATAGGCCGCCCCTGGATTCCGGATCAAGGACCGAAGCCTGGCGTAGTCCTGGCTGTTTCATTGCGCTCAAGACTGCGGAATCCTCGCACAGGTCAAGCGCACTGTGTCCAGTGATCCATCCCTTTCGACGCGTACGACGGCTTTTCGATGAGCAGTCGCACCACGCGTCGACATATGTCGAATGACACCGACACACGTTCCTGTTACCGGCATACGTGAAGCTGTTCCCCGACATACATCGGAGAACAGCTTCACCAAACTCCCACTTGTTTGCGTGCTGTGCCCACTGTCCTCGCTGCTGCCAAGCCTGCGCCCAGTGGTTCGTCGCGGATGGGCTACCCTGGCGGTCTGCCTGCCAGATGAGACTGTGACGTGAGGGACTCACTGATGTCTGTGCTGGTCCGACTGGGCTGCAACGGGCGTCGGTGTCATTCTCCCACGCAGCACCGCCCGATTATCATTCAGTTTGCCCCGAGCTAATCTCTGACAGCATTGCCATCAGAAGATAAACCTTGATCTAATCCAAACAAAATACTTTGCTTACCTAATACAGGATGCCTGCCCAAGACTAATTGTGTAAGAGTACTGCCTGCCGGCCTCGGAGAGCAAATCCGAGTGCCTTGGCTTTCAGTTTGGGCTTCGGTAGGCTGCCTCCCGCTCAGACACTGCATAGGTAACAAGCAGAATCGATCTGATGTTCAAATAATGGACAGGTATCTCAGGGTGACCGTTTTGTTCATCTGTGCGCCCCCCCCCCCCCCCCCCCCCTCCCCGCCGACGCTTCAGCTGAGTTCGTTAGTTTTGCCTACAAGTCGCTTCTAAAAAAATCGTATTCATCACCCCACGCGACCAGTATCCTTCTTCCGATCGATTACAAACACATGCTTGTACCCAGCAGCATGCAGTTTCTTCTCATTAAACAAGCAAAATACGGAGTAGCAGCCATCATTAAAAATGCAATATTCAGGCTGTACATCTACATCCACTTCCAGAAATGCTACAGCCGACTGAACTCCCCAAAAAACACACATTATGATTAATTTACCCGACTTAAATTGACTTTAACATGCCCAAGGAATGCCACCCCTCCCCCATACGCACCCATCTCCATGGTGTGGTTTACTTTCCACTGAACTGTCCATTGAACGTTGTTTAAGATACCAGGTACCAACTGACCTCACAAGATAACCTCCAACCCACCAGCATCTGGTGATGCCACAAACCTAACACAATCAGAACAAAGAGTGACGAGTTGCCCTCGCCCCCACAGTACGTCTCCGGTCCCACAACGGAGAACGGCCTTGCCACAACGGCCTTGCCAACAACGGCCTTGCCAACGCCAATCGTGACCAGCTTAAGCTCAAGTACTGAACGCCAACACTAGCTATCACTGTGCTGATCCGAGTTGTCGCTGTTGTTGCCGCTCACGATGACGATCTCGCCCGAGCTGGAGCTGTCCGCCTTGCCCTTGTCGACGGCTTCGGGCGGCGGCGTCTTGACCATCTGCCAGGCGGGGATGGACGGCGCGGGGGGCGACGGCGCCGCAGGAAACTGCTGTCTGCAATGGCGGTCTCCCATCAGTGCTCCGCGAAGCGAGGCTCGAGAAAGGAGACTGAAACGTCGTCATTTTAGTCTTCTACAAACACCGTCACAGCCAAGATCAGCTGCCAAGATCCCCAGCAGCCATATTCTTTAAAAACATGAGCACGCCACCACCACAAGATGCAGTACACAAAGTCGCCAAGTGGCCAAACGCGCGCACGCACGCACGCACGCACGCACGCGCATGCACGCACGCACCTGCCCGGCCGCCCGCCCCGCCCGCATATCTTAGAAACAAAAAACTCGACATCAGGCGTTGCAGCCTCCTCAGGCCGCACAGCGTCGGCCCGGTGGCTTACGCTTGGCCGTGGCCAACAGGTGGACGAAAATAGCGATTCATCTGAAAGAAGCGCATTTGAACGCTTTTGAATCGTGTAATGAGATATATTCCGGGCGTATATTTCGCCTCCGTGGTTTTTAGATTAATGACAATAACGTATTGATCTTAACGACACCGCGAAGTGGTGCTAAAATGTGGTTGTAGAACTGGAAGAGAAAAGGTAAAATTTATATTTGCCATGCTGCTGCCGGAAATAAATAAGGGACCTCATTAGTGCCAAATGGAATGGGTCGAACAGTTCGACCCATTCCATTTGGCACTAATGAGGTCCCTTATTTATTTCCGGTAAAGGGGCCGCTTGAGTACAACACCACGGGACACACTGTCATTGCCGGGCAAGAGCTGAAGGGCCAATCTATCCCACCGCGGTGTGTTTTCTGGCCGTCACTCTAGCGACACGGGGCGGCATCCCCTGGCCGATCCGGAGGCCCTCAGGGGATACACCATATCACATTGGTCCGCTCCCTGAGGCGAAAGGCCTCCTGCCCAGCGCGGTTGACCCCGAATCGACGCATAAACCGTCATTAACGCAACGACATTTCTGCGTACCGCAGATGGTCAAATTGTTGGCATACAGACTTCAGTTGGGCTTAACGGGCCCATGCTGAAAAAGGGCTGGAGGGCCCAGTGTTCGGGAGTGGAGGCCCTGACTGGCACCGGACTCTTCCATTGCCTCAATGTGAGCACTCATCATGAGTTCTTGTTTCCTTCAATTATCAAAGGGCCCCGACCAGCGGAGACCCTCTGCCATTCGAGCTCCCGTCCCCGTCCCTGCTGGACAAATCTTCCCCTGACCGATTCGAGGCCCCTGGTTGACACAGAGCGTCCTGTTAGGCACTGTGGGCCCCTGAACGATACAGGAGCCCGACAGATGGCAATCGCGGGCCTGGCCTTGTCCCTCCCGGCATGCTAACATATAGGGTCAGGCCAGAGCACGGGATCCATCGATGCAAAGTGGAATAATCCCAGACCAGTGTACATGAATTAATGCCCCTGTATGATCAAGAGTGCCCGCGCAGGTTAACAGAGGGTTCTGACAAATGAAGCGTCCTCAGCACATAAGCTCGAAGGGAAAGAGTTCCTCCAAGCGAAGGGAAAGAACCCGATACCAATTTGGAGGGCCCCTGAGTAACCGAACGTATCCCGGCATATGGAGCCCCGACAGCAGCGGGGGGCGGAAGAGCCCGCCTGCCTCGCGGACGCAGCGGTTCCGGCCGAGGCTGCGCCGCCCCCCCCCCCCCCTTTCCCACCCCCCAACGTCTCTGGCCGAGGCGCCGCCCGGAGCGCCTGCGCCCAGTTCGCCGGTGAGCCCCGGGGCGCGCCCAGACCGGCCGCGGCCGCCAGGCGTCTAGGTGAGCTATAGTAACCATGCTCTACTGTACGCATCACGTGATCATCAGTGGAATGACAGGTTGACTGTGCCATCTGTTGACAAAAGAGGGAAACAGCGGCAGGGGGCAAAAATGCTTCTGCAGTGTCATCTAGCGGCAGGAACCCAAACTGACCTGAGTGTCTGGGACACCAGACATGATGAACGCTAGATTTCACAACTCTGGAATTTGCGACTCTGGACGCTGCGCGCCCGGGCCTTGTAAACGCCCCTACTGGGCATGGAATTGGACGCATGTTGGACGTTATGAACGCAGGCCGTTGGACGTTATGAACGATATGAGCGCAGGCCGCTGCAATCTTGGGCGTTTTGATGGTCACACACACGCGCATACACGCGCACGTGCACATACACACACACACACGGAACACACAACCGGCGGAGGACACAAGGCCCACCTGAGTGAGGGGGGGGGGGCGGGGTTGCAGCCATCGTCGCATCCCACCTGTTGAGCAGCAGACCCTTGACGGAGGTGATCTCGGTGCGCAGCTGCGTCAGTTCGCGGCGCAGCTGGGCAGTGTCGTCGGCCGGCCGGCCCAGCTGAAGCAGCGTCCGCTGCTGTTCGGCGACCTGGCTCTGAATCACCTGCAGCGAGGCGGCCAGCGAGCGCACCGACTCGTCCAGGCTGCTCTGCAGCGCGGCCAGCCGCTGTTCGCCGGACCGGGGCCGCCGCCCGCCAGTCAGCCACGGCAGCACGTACGTCTGCCGGCCGACATAAGGCTGTCAGTCATGGCAGCACGTGCGTCTGCCGACTGGAATGAGGCGGCCCGCCACGACAGCACGCACGTCCCCAGCCGAGAAAATACAGGTGACAGCGTGGACCAAAGTTGGCTATCGCGCACCCTTCTGCTTAAGACACCGGACTCCGCAGCCAGACACGCCAACGCGCCAAGAAAATACACTCAGCAGAGGGGGAATGCGTGTTCGAGGGCATACAAAACGGCCAGCCACAGAAGATAACACGTCCAGCCACAGTGCATGACATGACGACCCAGAGTAGATAACATGGCCAGCCACAGAAAATAAACAGCAAACCGCAGTAGATAACGCAGCGACCCACTGTGCACAACATAGCCACAGTAGATAACATGGCATGGCATGGCATGGATAACATGGTCGGCCACAGCAGCTAACACAGCCAGCCTAAGTGGAGAACATGACCAGCCACATTAGACAACATGGCCAATCACAGCAGATAACACGTCCAGCCACAGAAGACAGCATGCCCAGCCACAGTGGACAACACGGCCGGACAAGTGAACGAAGGCCGAGTTTATACCGTCAGCCACGAAATAATACAACACAGTCAGGCAGCACACCGGTACTGCGTGCGGATGCACAACATGCCAACACAGCGCGATGATCCACTCCCCAATCCTGCGTGAACGCTACGAGACGTGTCGCGAATACAAACTTAAAGGGAATGTTTCACATATCCACGTCCATATTCAAGTACGCATCAGATACGTTGAAATAAGCTCACTTATACATGTTGTCATACTTTTAGGGATAAAAGACTACTCTAGACAACATAATTTCTCTCTTTCTCTCTTAAGTAAACATGTCCCTCGATACGTCGTTGTTTGATTACGTCATCGTACCTTACACGACATTGATTGAGAGCCAATGGACGGCCGTCATGCCTGGAATTGTGTTACCAACGCCAGAAACGAACAGCTCGACCATTATATTCTCTCGGCTTTAATCGCCGTATGACTTATGGAATGGCAGGATTTGAATGATGTTGTCATGGCGTCATCAACGCTCAGACGACTTTAAATTAGTCTCCCCGAACTGCTCTGCCCCCTTTAGGTTCCAAGGGGCTCTTCGGGCCCCTCGGAACCTAAAGGGGGCACATACCCCTTGTGCCTTCCCTGCCTGCACTACTGCTCTGAAGAGATGTGGCAGCACATCCTGGTCATTGTCGGGGAAGAGTTCACCTTCACAATGTAATATATGATGTAGCCTCCCCCGAAGAATACCACGATGACGTGGCAGACTGCCTGCAGCGGTCCAATAAAGCGGGAGCTCTGCCTGGTGCTAAGAAAGGCACACGTCTGGGTCTGTGGAAAACACAAGCTCAAGTAAATCACAGATTTTGAGCACATAATGTCATTCATCTTGCAAACTTTGGGAATTTCTTTGACAAACTGGCATGCACACAGACAACATGAAAACATGTGTGAAGAATAGGGAGAGAAACCACAGTGAGAGATCACCTGCACTTAGTGGACAAACAAAGTTTTCAGACTGATTGTAATGCTTGTAAGTTAAGATAAATTTAGATAGTTTGATGTCTTTATTGTTGGTGTAGCACATGTGATCTCAGACTAGAATCACTCAAGACCAATTAATGGAGGATGGAGTGAATGGCAGATCGGAAAGTGTTATCAATAGTTTCCATTCAAGTTTCTGTTTGAACATGTACCTGTTCCACACTGTAGGCGACAGATGCGCTCCTGAGGAAGGCTTCATTAATCTCTTCATCATTAAGTCCCTTTTGCTTCAGGAATATTATCTTCTGCTCATCACTGCTGCCTGCTACCTTTGGATTTCCAAGAAACCTCACAGCTGCTGTGATCATGTGCTCTCGTGGAGCAGTAGAAAGGGGAGAGCTTTGATCTTGTAAGTCACCCATGAAAGTGACACAAGTCTTATCTGTAAAAACAAATAATGGTCTGGTTAATTTATAGTATTTACTGCATCAGAGCTTATGATGCCAAACCCAACCAGCCCAACTTGTTAGAAACATATGTTCTGCAAACTCAGATACTTGGAAAGTCCAAAAACCAAACAGCTTTTGTTTTACCAAGTGCTAAGGCCCTCAGTATTGTTTCTTTGGTGATGTGTGCAGGTAGCCATTCATTTATTACCTGACTCAAGGATCTCTAGAGGCCATGGTCACCTTCTACATAATACAAGAAAATCAGTTAATATTAAAAGCACTCATGGTTTTCAAACATGAAGCACAGTCTACATGTTCTATACCACAAATGTCATCTGAAAGAGGGCAATTTTGGCTGGCTACACTACCCCATTGAGACTAAATGTCCACTGGCTACATAGCATCATTCTGAGCCATGGGATGGAGCCCATGGGCAAGGGCAGAGCACATAAGGACATTTGAACACTGTCAGGAGAGAGCTGCAAGTGTTCATTGATGTTCAATTAGATATCCTAACAACCTGATCTCACATTAAAATTCTGTATTAAAACCATGGTATTTAATGAGGAGAGTAAACTATGACTAATGTCTTCCTCCTAGCAGTTTGCATCTTAATGCAATGCCCTCACATGTAAAAGGAGTTATGTATCCAAAATGATGATGATCAGAATTTGAGATATTGCAGCATGTTCAGTGGTCATGCAGTGTCATGTGCTTCAAATGCAACAAAAAACATGTCAACAAGGCACTCAAATGTTTGTGTACATAAGCATGAAATTCTGAATGTTAACAAGTTAGCATAACAGATATAGATACATGAAAACATCAGACTACCAAAGAGCCACAAATACCCATCTGCATTGACCTACCATAGGTTCAGCACCCATCCTTGACACTAACCTCACTAGCTGACCTGCCCCAACTTAGCTGTAAATGAGATCCTTATACCAATAGGACTGGTCCAAATGATTTATAAATGTTGCCAGAGAGGGTCTTCCTACCACTTTGTTTGGCAGTCCATTCCAATGATTTACTACTTTTTGACTGTATGATATCTGCCTCCTCATAATTTTACTGCTACCTTTTGCTAAGCACAATTGTTTTCCTCAACCCTCAGCCTGATTTCCAGTGCCCATTGTAGATCAATATTGTCTACCCCTTTCAAAATCTTGAAAACCTGTGTCAGATCCCCTCTAAGTCTATGATATTTTAGTGAATACAAGCATAAGGCCTTGCGCATATCCCTATCTTTTAAGTTGGCAATCATATTTATCATCCTAGTTCCTGTCTGCTGTACTCTTCCAGCCTATCTATGTATTTTTTGAAGCATGAGGACCAAATCTGTATAAAATACTCGAGATGTTGCCTGACTATCAAAGTACAACTTTTTGACAGCATTCCTTCTCCTATAATGGACATTCCTGCTACTAAACCTACACATTTGAAATACCTTGCCATTAGCAGCCTCAAATTGCCTTTCAGTCTTAAAATCCTTGGAAATTATGACTGTAAAGTCCTTTTTAACTTTGATCTGGTTCAACTCCCAGCCTCTCATTATATAGCTAATACTCCCACTACCAAAAGTACCCGCATACATCAACTTACCTCCATCATATTTCAATAATGTCTGCTACTGAGTCCCGGTTCACTTGTTTCTCAAGTCAAGCCTCACCTGGTATGCGTTTTTTGTCATCCCACCACTTAAAATGTCAAAAATAAGCACCTCATCCCCTAGTCCTATGTCAATATTATTCACAACACTAAGGAGCAAAGGGCCCAATACCAACCCCTACGAAACCCCACTATTCCTTATCTCCCACCGAGACTTACTTTCAATGAGCACTAGCCTTTGTTTACTGTACTGTGGCGAAGCCCTTACCCATCCAAGATTTTTTCACTCAATGCCATGCAATTGTACGTCATATAAGAGATGCTGATGTAGCGCTCCATGCTCCATGAGCTGCCGAAGATTTCCCCAACAAGACCTACCAGGAAGGAAACCGCGCCGACGATTTTTCAGCTGACCCCTATCGAAGTTTGACTGAATGCTAGCCTTAATGAATTTCTCTAAGTTTTTACATACCAGCAAGGTAAAACTGACAGGCCAGTGGTTGCTGACTTGCCGATTTTTTATTCCCGAGGACGTGTTGATGGTCGGAGAAGAAGCAGGGGTTGCAGTTTTAGCGCAGAGAAGACAAATATCGGCGCTGCCGCTAAAAAAGATCCGTACATGTTTGCGCCATATAGCCTTGGGTGCATTGCATCACGATTATTCCGCAGGTGGCAGGGAAGTCGGACGTACTCCGGGGATTCGGTAATGGTGTTGAGTTTTGCACATCTCCTTGCCCTGGCTGCCTGATGACGGGCGTGGCTGTTTGTCACTTCAGCAGCATTACAGCCCTTGCCATCAGAAGACGACGCCAGTTTTAATCGCGTTCCATGAATTTTCCGGGAAGTTACATAAGCTTCAACATTGTAAGCGGTGCTTGAAACCTCCTTATGTCTCTTAACATTTTTACTGAGAAGCAAGGTGCTTCAGGGGTATGACTGGGTCAAAAGAAAATTGTGTCACTCCAAGACAAACTTGTTGAACTCTTGTGTACATTCATGGCTGTGCTGTGTTGGCATTGTTCCCTGTGCTGTTCCATCGCCTGTTGAACCTTTTTCTTAGTCACGTGCCTGGGATGTTCTGACACCCAGCTGGTTTTCAGGCTATAGCATTGGTTTATGACTTATCACTTTTTGTACCAACAAGAGAACTGGAGGAATAATAACATTCACAATGGGCAGGGTACCAGGTGCAAACTTGTAAAGTAGAGAAAGCATGCAGTGAAAAACCAGGGGTACATCAACACCCATACAAAAGCAAGGAAAAGACTGACACTGATAACTATGGCACTTCTACATAGAAGGCCTAACCATCAGCAGCAATAATAATGACCTGTAACAGCTGTTGTCAAACACACTTCATTCCAGCTAGTCCTGGATGAAATGTATGAGACCTTACATGTTTGGGTAGATTTGGGTCCTCACACAGGAGAAAATATCTCTCTCCAAACCCTAAGCCCCTGCTTTTTTATACTGCCAACTGGACATGTGGTGGTGATGCACCCTTGGATATATGGCTTTTTCTGAGTGTCAGTTATGTGGGTGCCCTTAGCTGCCTTCCTGACCAGCTTCCATGTCCATCAGCTAAGCAGGTGTGATCCTAGGTTGTGTTTTATTGTGTCATTTTGATTCTACATTTTACAACATGCTCAACTGCTGAGGATATATGATACCACCTGTCCCTCACCCTGGCAAGAAGGCCAATGTCCCAGGTTGTGTCTGTGCTCCTCTGGAATCAATAACTGGAATGTGCTGCTAAAATATGCCATCTGCTCTCCAGCCACCATTGTGCTAAAAATGGCCAGTACGTTTATGTGCCACTCGCCAAGCTTTCTGGTGGATGCACCAACATCATACACATAATTATGGACCACATGCTAGACTGATGCCACAGGACTAAATATGTTTCAAGTATTCAAATGTACATGGTCTTGTGGTTATGGAGAGTTCATACAAGGGAATACAGTGGATCTAAGGGTGTATTTTCATTTGACAAAGCAAAGCTGGACCAACATCTGCATTGGTTCCTTTTCAGCCATAGTTTTGTTAAGTACCACTTAACAGGAAAGATGAGCAGCTTCCACATATCTCGGGGCCTGCTGGTGGCCTTCAAGCAGACAGTTAAGACTTCAAGCGGCTTAGCTCCACCCAGACTTCAACAGTCCGTCCTGACACCCGTAAGGAAAGCCTCACTGCTTAAAAAGCCATAAGGGCTCTTGCTTATGACAGGGTAATATGACATACAGTTTTAGGGTAAGTTGTGTGTGCTGCCTTGGTCTTTAATACACTGCTTGTGCTACTCTAAGCAAGTTGTGAATCTGTGTTCTGTGTAGCCTGTGGTATGAGTATGCTCACCTTCTCCTAGTTTGGGTATGATCAAGTATAATGGAAATCTAAGCAAGTCATATTTTATGAAGCATGGGTTTACATTTGCCTGCTTTATCTCCCCTCCAAACTCACAGTAAATGCTGTTTCTGACAAGGGTTACACATCATGTGCACCACTTGCAGCGATGCATCCAGCGGCGGTGGGCCAATACGCGGCCCAAGGACCCGCGCCGCAGCAAGGAGCCCATGTCCTGGAAGACCCTGGCCGGCACTGCTGTCTTGGGCTCTGGGCTGCTCGGCTTCATGTACTACCTGAAGCGAAAGAAGGAATTTGGTGAGCCATGATGTTGTGAGGTGTTTTGTTCATTGCAATTAGCCGGATTCGCAGCATCCCTCAGTGGTTGCCGTTGGCGCATCAAACCTCCGTAAAATGCTTCAGCCTGAGTCACAAAATGTTGTCTTCTGTTTGTTGTTATTTTGTTTGTTTTTTAAATGTTGTTTTTTCCTTATTGTGATTCATACCTGACGTATCTCCGCCGCGTGGCTGCTCCTATCCCTGTCGGCCAGTGTCCGACCAAGCCAGTCCGCGCATGCCACGGCGCCCTCCCCGGGCGGACCTTGTGCCTCGTACAGCAGTGGTATGCCTTTCACGATCCCTATTCTGGCAGCCATTGACCAGGAGCGCCGCCGAGCGGTCGGCAAAGCGTCGCTGGGTGGCCGCTTCGAGCTGGTCGACCAGAACGGACGGCCGTGCACCAGCGACGACTTGCTGGGCCAGTGGTTGCTGCTGTACTTCGGCTTCACGCATTGTCCCGACATCTGTCCGGACGAGCTGGAGAAGATGGCCGCCGCCGTCGACGTCGTTGGTGAGTAGACTGGCCGCGGCCGTCGGCGGCGCGCGTGCGGTCCCGCCGCAGAGAGGCGGGATGGTGCCCTGAGATGTGCTGGGATTAGGGGACAGCAAGGGTGGTAAGTGCAGTGCACGGCATCTGCCGTGGGCTGAAGGCTCCTCAGCGTGGGCTGAAAACCGAGACAAAGGTAGTCTCACGTAGTCTGGTTTCATTGATATTGCATTGTTTTATTTTAGCCAGTGAATTATGTGTCCGGCAGTGCAGCGCTGTGTTCTAGAGCAGAATGTGTGTGTGTGGGGGGGGGGGGGGGGGGGGGGCACACGCCTTTCTTATTCCACTGTATCGATTCCACGCACTATCAGCTCCTTCGCACCACCGCGGCATCATCCCGGCGGAGGTCAGTGACGATGCCCTTTGCAGCGGGCACGCCCAACATGCCGCGCGTGCAGCCCGTCTTCATCACAGTCGATCCGCTGCGGGATGGCGTGGAGGCCGTGCGGAAGTACGTCAAGGAGTTCCACCCGCAGCTGCTGGGCCTCACCGGCACGGTGGAGCAGGTACGGCCGGCGTCCGTCCGGGCCGGGACGAGTCGCCGCCGGCGCTGCCGGGTGTAGGCGAGGGGGGGGGGGGGGCTGGTAGATGTGCTTGCCGATGTTCACTGCTGCATCCGCCGGCGGCGAAGCGGTTCACGTCTTGGCCGCGTCGTGTTTGTTTTTGTGTTGTGTGGTATACGCTGACGTATCAGGTCACTTGTTGATATAGTTGTCGTAGTGGGTTATTGCAGCAGATCCGTCTTAGATGGTCCGCAGATCTGCAGTATGTGGGTCTATATGCATGTGGGTCCATGCACCAATGTGGCCTTTGTACCTTCAATGACCATTTGCCATTATCTCATGTTCCAGGTTAAGCAGGCGTGCAAGGCGTATAGAGTTTACTTCAGCGAGGGGCCCAAAGACGACGACAATGATTATATTGTGAGTGAGATTGGTTCAGTTACGTCGTCTTTCCAGCAGTGCACTCCGATAGGCGCCTAAGAAAGTTATACAAATATCAGCTGTGAACTGAGCATTATAAAAGCCTGTTTTTGTGCGCGATTCGGGCGTAACTGATTTTGTACACGTTGTAACTGTCGTTATTGTTGGTTTATAATATTGTCACATGGTTTCAGTCAGAGTGAATGGGTGCCTATTGTACTGGCTTTTACTGCCTATGTCCTTACGCCCACGCATCCGCCCTCAATACGAAGACATACGTCCTATTGCGTCCTTCCCTGGAGTCAGAGTCCTCGCCATTGCCGAACCAATCGTTGCTCGATTCTGGCGTATTCAGAGCACAGACTGGCGCCGAACTGTGCCGCCAGGTGGACCACACGATCATCATGTACCTGATCGACCCCGAGGGACAATTCGTCGACTACTACGGTCAGACCAAGACGGCCGACGAGGTGGCCGCCAGCGTACTGGTCAACATGGCCAAGTACAACAAGCTGAAGAAGGGCTCCTTCTGGTAGCCACAGGTGTAAAGTGTAGTGCGTGTGTGTGTATGTGTGTGTGTGACTCGCTCTGCGCGGAGCCATCCCGCGAGTTGGGGTTATCACGTGACTTTCCTTTTTATCACTCAGGTGTATTTTGCGGAGGCCAGATGGCTTGATTGTTGTCGGTCCCTGCTCGACAGGAAATGTGATATATACGTCCTGCGCGTGTCCGCGGAGCTTTGCGTCGCCAGTTGTGCACGTTTCGTTTCCGGTACGATTCCTGTACAGTTGGGCAGAGACATGACAATACAGGTGACCTCCTGGACGAGATAATTGCATCGGCTTAGCCCTTACGATGGGTTTATATCACCGGTATCCCCCTTCTGGGTTCTCGTTCGGACCTTTCGGTTGATGTGGATGCTCTTCGGCCAACATCGCGCCAACTCAAGTTTAGTCTGTAGCGATTTGTGGATCCACGGAGTCCGCACGTCGTCACCCAGCGCCGGAGCAACAAACGACGACTCTGTCTGGAGCCACTGCTGCCGGATGCTGGAACGCAGAGACCGGCTCTGTTGCCAACAGCATGTGATTCCCAGAAATACACGAAACTAAAGATCCTTTCGGGAAATCATGTCCGTGATGTTTCAAAAGAGAACGACAGCAGAAACAAATGATGAGAAATTTTAATGGTAATACCTTTCAGTGTAGAAAGGCACCCGTGAATTACAGCACTACAAATCTGGTGGAAGATGAAAAGGTATGTTGAAACCTTATGTGCGTTTTAACGCGAAGGTTAAGTTACGCAAGCACGTAGCCAACATTTTCCTCGGAGGTACGCAGATATCAAATTTTCTCACTTAAAACCCTGCGAAGTTGGGATCAAATTCCTGCGAAATAGCGCAGTATGTAGTGTTAACATCATGGCTCTGGGAGACGGGGAGGGAGAGGGTACGGCCCCGTTGGCATTTTTGGGCCTGCATCCCTGATGCTACCTAACAGTAAATGACGCACGCGTATGCAAGGCGATATACATCAGGTGGAACCGTCCCGGTAACACACTTCCCAACAAAGACCCCTACTTGAGGTCACCGAGGGAGAAGGACCCCTACGTGAAGTCACCGCGGGAGAAAGACCCCTACGTGAGGTCCCTTTAACGCTGGGACGACCGCACACGTGGTAACGGGTATGAGAGATCGCATGTATCACAGCGCACTTGATAGATGGAAAGCTTTGTAAGAACTGAATGAAAGAACTGTGCGCTAGGCCTAATTTCAAAGGAGATTCAAGAACCGAGGTGGCAATGTGGGACTTACGAAGCGAGCCATTCGAAGGCATTTCGCCGCGCTTCACGCCTGAGAAACGCTCGGCGTATGGACTTATTTATGACATCGGAAAATGGAATCAGAACCGCATAAAACCATAAAACCAGATGGAATCAGAACTGCATAAAACCATAAAACCAGATGGAATCAGAACTGCGTCCCTCGGCTGCCAGTTTATTTTATGCATCACAGCTGCTGCCCTCCGGGGAACTTGCCCCAAGCTAATCCATGGAACTTCTGGCTGCCAGTTGGCGTCTGGATTGGACCCCGGTTTGATAGATCACCCGACGGAACACAATGGTTGCATCGATGTAGCCTATGACGGTGTGCCGGAGCGAGTGCGGTCGGATCTTCCACCTCCCTGGCTGAGATATATTTGGAGTGCGGTCGGGTATAGCAGCGCAAAAAGCTTATAAGATGCCCCAAGCTCCTCAGCAGGGGCTCCCGACCCGGAACTGGCCAGACACTGCTTGACTTGCTTGATCCTAAAACCAAATGCAGTCTAAGAGTCCATCCCAAGCCGGGTTCATAAGCTTTTGGCTATTCATATTGAGTGCAGCAGATGAATTAGCAACGATGTTCCTCATTTGACAACAGGCTTTAGTTATACGACTGCCGACCGTGCATTGTCGTCCCGCTAACACAGAAGCAGGATCAGATGCAATTCAGCGAGTCCATGGTCATGGTCCACCGCCGGCTGCAGCACCCCGAGTGCCGCATGGATGATGCCAGCATCGAGCTGGGACTTAGAAGCCACGCATCCACCTTGAAAGCGTACTGTTTGAAGGCAGGGTATGTTCATGACATGCTGGGCGAATACATAAGTCTTCCGGCTGATAGAGTGTGGTACGACAGTATTGGCGACATCCAGTGCCTCATCGACCCTTGGCCAGTCGACGCTGGCTGAGTTGCTAAGTTGAGTGAATGAGTTGCTGCTGGCTGAAGATGCCATCGGTCTGGACGTGCTGCAGGTCCCAAGTATTTCTCAATAGCTGGCATACCTGGCGCAGTGGGCGAGCGATCACCGAAGCCAGTTCAGACGGTTAGTTTGGTGCTGGGCATGCGACTTCATCCGCCGAAAGTCAGACGGGATTGCTCGCGTCCCGGTAGTAGATTTAGGCCTGAGGATGACAGTAGCTCCAACAGTAAAACAAAACAAAACAAAAAAACAGCGCGGGATTCCGGGCTGTTAGTGACCCAAACAGCATGCAGCTTTTTCCATCTGCCGTATCTTTTACTTGTTAAATACCCAGCGCATGCACCAGAGGCGTGGCCAAACCCTTCCTCTTTCAATGCGGACTCATCCGGCCACGTTATGTTTTTAGAACTGAACTGGCACAGATTGAGGCCAAGTGCTCAAACGCTAGCATGAACAGCTTTTAATCAAGCTATTAAAGTACCCCTATTTCGTGGGGTGTTATAACGAAGCTTGCAGAGCGCTGACATGTGACTACGGGTGAACCTTCAAGAACATCTAAACCTACTGAGCCGGCTCAAGATGAGACCAAGTGGAAGCTGAAGTCACATCATGCTGTTGCCCCAACCAACGTAAAAGGCCTCCTGGCATTCGGGGTACCCTCACTATCCCTGTTCAGTAAGTGCTCCCCCGGGCTACATGGGATCCCTTGTCGACACAAGACCCCCTGTTTGGCACTGCGGGTACCTGACAGGCACTTTCATTATTTCAGGGACACCAACCAGTGTAAATCGTGGTTCCGGTCTCGCTCGTGCTTGGAAAATGGACCGTCAGATCTCAGAACGACTTGGAGCGAACTGTTCGGTGTTGATGGTCTCCGGTCGAAAAAGAGGCCCTAACTGTCCCACGGATCCCCAATAGATGCAGAGGCTTTCTGACTGGCATTTGTGGTCATGGCCCAACGGTTGGAGCATGCTTGTTGTGACCCATGGCCAGTCCTTCCGACCCTTCTGTCTCCTCAGTCTTCCGATCGGGCCCTGGATTTTTGATCCCGAGGGGCTCTTCGGTCCTTCTCCGGGACTGCTCAGATAAAACACGTGACAGACTGGGGACCACTTGCTGACACGTGGACCCTTGTTAGGCACCGTGAACCCATGACCGAAACAGAGGCCTAATCATTGTTTCAGGGACCCAGATCAATGCAAATCGTGGGCCCTGGCCGTGCCCTTGCTTGGAAATCGGATCTCAGGGTTCAGACCAACTCGGAGCCAGCTGTTCGGTGTTGGTGGTTTCTGACCAGCATAGACGTCTGCAATGTCTCAGGAGGTCCTCAGTCGGTATCAGGAGCATTCCGGTATTACAGCTCACAGCCCTACGGACCGCGATCTTTCGTGTAGAATGCAACCAGCTATCCGGGCCCTTATGCCCTTCAAGCAGGTTCTTGATCGTCGGTTTCGGAGGGCCCCGGTCCCGTCTTCGGACCTCATTGAACACTGTTCTTGTTCGATTCGGGGCCCCTTGACAACACAGGACCTTCTGCTAGGCGCTATTGGCCCCTGATAGATGCGGTGCCCCCGACCAGCGTGCATCGCTGGCCCCAGTTTGGTCGTCGCTCTGAAAGTGGGCCCTCAGCTCCCTCCCCAACACGGAGCCGACTGTACGGTACTGGTGGTGCAAGCCCGTCATATACGCCCTTATCGACTCAAGGATCCCCGAAAGGCGCAAAGGAGCCTCTGAGTTTTGAAACGTTATGTCCCGTCCCTTTCAAAATTCCCCGCCCGTCCAAACCACCAACCGGGAGCCGGAACATTGGTGGTTCTTCCTGCGGGTGGCGGATTACAGGGGCAGGCCCTCCCCTCCAACTTTAGGCAATATTGAACACTGACTCTATGACGGCGTATGGAGAGGAACGAGGTACAAATCATTACACAAATCACGGGTACGAATCGATTCAAACCTCCCCTCCCCTCCCCGCTCCATACATGTTCCACCCGCACTGCTTCTTTCCGAGACAAAGATCGCACTACACCCGCAAAAGACTGCACAATACATACCACCCTTTGCCACGATGAAATGATTGACAATTCGAAATAGCATGTTTTCAATACTTTACGCAATTTGTACTCACTATTCAGCTCTCAGCCGTCTTTGCCTCCGCCTACCAAGATTTTACCAAGTGGTTTTCGCCCACGTATACGCGATAAATATTGATCTTGAATGACGGTCCTTGTTGATCATATTTTTCGTGTTGCCTAGTCAATCACAGCGAGATTTCATCAGTGTGGTTTTCTCCGCTCTTCTCTTGGCGAATGAGGTGAGCTGAAGCCCTGGGCTGAAGCCACTAAAAAAAAAATGCCCCTTGAGTTTGCGATAAGCCGGTGGTGCTCTTATGTGGGTTTGTTTAATGCGGCTTGTAGAGAATATTTGATCTGTGGATGTAGCTGTGTGGTTTTAGGGTGCCACTGTGAAAAGACTTCGAGAATACCGCCGGGTGCCAGGAGACCTCACGCCGGTTGCAAATCATCGCAGGAAGAGCTGGGTGGAGCGTGATATTGAGGCCTGAAGATGACGCTTGGAGCTGGGCGTTACCAGTCGTCCTTGCCAGGGCTCTTGGACAACATCGCATTTGTCCTCACTTACCCATGGCTTACCATCGCAAGCTTGTTCCTGTCCTGTTACCAATCGACCCCTTGGGAAGTTCAGCATCCCCAGTCAAAACTGACTCATTATTTTGTGTATGGGCCGGTGCTGGGACTGCTTGCCCTAGCATTTGCGCCACTCGGCCTTTTGGGCTGCATCCTACATATTTTCCTTTGCCATGCATTTGTTTGCAACAAATACATTCATATGACAGTGCCTAAAAAACTGGAGGCAAATGGCTTTGATGTGGGTGGTCCTGATACAGGTCTAGCAAATTTATTGCCATCTAGAAAGTTCACATTTTGTTCTGCAAACCTCCTGCTTGCACCAGAATGTGTGGGGAGATTTAACAAAAATAAATTTGTGTACACTCGTGGCCCGGAGGTGGCTAGGAGGTTGCTCTGGCAGCAATCACTCTGTGAAAACAGTGCAAGTTTGAGTAAAGAGGATCATGTCTCTGTAGTATTCCCTGAAGTGGATTTCTTCTGCCTGCAAGAGGTTTGGGAAAGAGTTTGGGCACTATTTCTCATCAAGGAACTGATGCAGAAATATCCACACTTCCTGTATGACATAGGAGAAAACAAACTTGGTGTCAATGGATGCATGGCAGGTATGCATTTTGCATTGGATTTCTCAGAAGCATATATATATATATATATATATATATATATATATATATATATATATATATATATATATATATATATATTTATGAGGGTGCACCCACTGCATGTTATCCCTGCTATAGGTTAGCAATGTTTAGCCTCTCTTTGATAATGATAACTCAATTCTTAATTGTGTGAAATGAAAGTAAAATATTATTAGCTCATTTCCTATTCAAATGAGATTCATGTGAGTAAGCTTGACTATTTGAAATGTTCCAATTCCCAGCGGCTGTATATGCTATTGTGGAATAAGTGACCACCATCAAAAGCATTTATTTCATTCAGCACTGCTATGTAATGTGTTATATTGTTCATGTGCATGAACAGCATGCAACCTCCAGTACCTTGCACCATGTCAAACATACCCCATATTCTTGGATGGTTTCAGGCGTCATAACATTTCTGGAATGTTAAGCAAGCCCTTTGCCACAGGTTTTTTCCATGAGTCTATTGCCATTTTTGTTGCAGGAAGTGGTCTCTTCTTTGCCAGCAAGTATCCAATCCTGAAAGCTACATTTGAAACTTTCAACTGCAGGAAAGGATGGGCAAAATGCATATCATATGGAGTTCTCTGTGTTAAGGTATTGCTTGCTACCTTTTGCAGGTTTCTGGTTTGCTTAAGGCTTGTACAGATTGAGGTGATTGACTAGTTTATGGAAGCAAAATCTCATTCATTCATTTGTCACAGTCTCACTCATTTGTGGGAATTGAATCAATTAGTAAGCTTTCAGTAAACTCAAGTTGCTTGAGTGGCATGATCCATTTGGTGTGTCAAATGTGGAATTTGCTGTTTTTTGATGCTGTAACTTGTAGAAAATGCAGCTGCAATACTGTGGAACACTGCATCATCTGTTTTACAGGTTGATGTGGGAGCACCAAGGCAAAACAGAGTTGGGTACATTGCAAACCTGCATACTCAGGCATACCAAGATCAAGAACCCATCATCTATCAGGTACTAGATGTCTGTGTGTGTTTTCTGGCCACTGTTCAGTCCTCAAATGGGATTAGTCAGCTTTTGTTTATAGGTGTACATTTTTAAAAAGCAGCAAGTAATCATCAGGATGAATCATGCAAATAGTTTATGTTACAAGACAGTGTTTATGATCGCGAGTGACCACCACATTGGCTCAGTCGGCTAGGGTGCGTGTTTGAGTTGGGTTTCACTGGTTAGTGAGAAGTCTTTGGTTCAGGTCTGGCACATGGCAGACTTTTCTTTGATTGGCTCCCAGCCCAGGTGTTGTCAGCAACTGGGGAGTGTTCTCCCTGTCGCGGGTTTGACACTTTACCGACCAGCGCCCGCGGCCGGGGGACGCGTGTGGGATCTGCCTTTAAATAGATTCTGCCTTTAAATAGATCTTTGGTTCGGTGGCATGTTCAGAGGGTATGCACTGGACCAGTCCTCAGATTCACCAGGTCTGCAGAAGCTCTCACCCTCATTCTCGCTCTCTCGCTCTCTCGCTCTCTCGCTCTCTCGCTCTCTCGCTCTCTCGCTCTCTCGCTCTCTCGCTCTCTCGCTCTCTCCTCTCGCTCTCTCGCTTCTCTCGGCTCTCGTCGGCTCTCTCGCTCTCTCGCTCTCTCAGCTCTGCTCGTCTCTCTCATCTCGCTCTCTCGCTCTCTCGCTTCTCTCTCCTCTCGCTCTCTCGCTATCTCGCTCTCTCGCTCTCTCGCTCTCTCGCTCTCTCGCTCTCTCCCTCTCGCTCTCCTCGCTCTTCGCTCTCTCGCTCTTCGCTCTCGCGCTCTCTCGCTCTCTCGCTCTCTCTCGCTCTCCGCTCGCCTCGCTTCTCGCTCTCTCGCTTTCTCGCTCTCTCGCTCTCTCGCCTTCTCGCTCTCTCGCTTCTCTCTCGCTCTCTCGCTCTCTCGCTCTCGCTCTCTCGCTCTCTCGCTCTCTCGCTCTCTCGCTCTCTCGCTCTCTCGCTCTCTCTCGCTCTCTCTCGCTCTCTCTCTCTCTCTCTCTCTCTCTCTCTCTCTCGCTCTCTCGCTCTCTCGCTCTCTCGCTCTCTCGCTCTCTCTCGCTCTCTCGCTCTCTCGCTCTCTCGCTCTCTCTCTCTCTCTCCTCTCTCTCTCTCGCTCTCTCGCTCTCTCTCTCTCTCTCTCTCTCTCTCTCTCGCTCTCTCGCTCTCTCGCTCTCTCTCTCTCTCTCTCCGCTCTCTCGCTCTCTCGCTCTCTCTCTCTCTCTCTCTCTCTCTCTCTCTCTCTCTCTCTCGCTCTCTCGCTCTCTCTCTCTCTCTCTCTCTCTCTCTCTCTCTCTCTCTCTCTCTCTCTCTCTCTCTCTCTCTCTCTCTCTCTCTCTCTCTCTCTCTCTCTCTCTCTCTCTCTCTCTCTCTCTCTCTCTCTCTCTCTCTCTCTCTCTCTCTCTCTCTCTCTCTCTCTCTCTCTCTCTCTCTCTCTCTCTCTCTCTCTCTCTCTCTCTCTCTCTCTCTCTCTCTCTCTCTCTCTCTCTCTCTCTCTCTCTCTCTCTCTCTCTCTCTCTCTTCGCCCATGAAAACGAGACCTTGGATCCCAGTCTCATCTGATCCTTTCATGAACAGCAGTGTCTTGTTCCTGGATTCCGCGGGTTCCTTGTAAAGAACGGGGCTGGGTTACAGGTTCAGACTTGTTCTCACAAACAAAACGTATAGGCTCCTGGTCCCCTGTTTCCTTCACGAAACGAGGATCTTACTTGTGGCTACTATCAGTTCCTCACAAACACCTGAGCGTAATTCCTGCTTTCTCATTGTTGCACTCTTAAAACACCTGATTCTATTTCCTGCTTCTCATCGACCCATTTCTAAACACCAGCTTTGGTTGCCATCTGACATTACTAGTTTGTTAAAGATGTGTTGTCTGAATTAAACGTTATCATGCACACGTTCCGTAATATTTACTGGTACAACGTGCATGGTAAAACTACCGTGTGAATACGCACTGCTTCCCGCCAAAAATTTCAGGCAAGGGCGGCGATTTCGCTGGTTCCCCTGGCTTCATATTGTGCTTTGTGTTCTGCTGCATCTCAGCACTATCAGCGTAATTATAGGCTGGGACTAGGTTCTTTCGGGATGCCTGTGTTTATTTTAAAGCAAGATCTTCCTGGATTGTTCCCGGATCCCTCGGCCTACTGGCAGGCTGGATCCTGTTTGATGATGGCTCAGTCGGCACAATTCAGCGCTGGATCGTGGTTCTCGCTGGATCTTTTGGATGGATGGATCTGGATGGATTCTGGATGGGTCTTTGGCTTGAAACCAAACGTTCCCGGACTCTTCGTGACTCCTGCATCAGGGCTCTGCTGCTAGCTCCCGAGATTTTGTTTCGGGAACTAGGCGTATTTCGACCGAAGATAGGATATGATTTCAGAAAAAATTGTCATACCGCAAAGCCGCATGCTTCAGTGTCTGTCAGTGTATACATGATATTTTATATAATGTTTACAAGGTAGTATCATGTATGCGTGACGTCTTTGTCTTGTGTACAAAATGTCTGCGTAATACATGCATGCTATTTGTGTCATATGTGCCCGGTATTTGAGTGATGGGCCTCTGACCGTGTATTTCCTGCAGGAGTTGCAGCAAGCCCACACGGCGTTTGAACGTTTCCGCCAAGAAACACTGGGCTCAGATGAAGAGTCAGTGTTCCAGATGATGTGTGGCGACTTCAACTACGACAATATGTCACCAGGTACCGAACTCGACAGTCGTATTGTCGAACTCGGCAGGTCGTATTCTCGTACTCGACAATCGTAACAGCGTCACCCTGAGTGAGAGTGCATGAATCGCGGGGGGGGGGGGAGGTGGGAGGTGGGAGGGGGGCACTGGCAGCGCCTCCCCCAAATTTGACTCTCGGTATTACCATCAAGCTATGGGGCAAAGATCATGGCGTGTGATTAGAACGTCTTCTGCATCATGTCGGTTTTTACAGGTCATCAACATTCGGGGGATTAAACGAGGAGCAACTGTCAGCCATTGGTACAATAAAGTGTATCTAACTAAGAATAAGAATACGCGAAAAAATGCATGTTCATCCAAACATATTAAAGTAAACAGGCATCACGCTTTATTCAAACATGCAAGCGATCTCAAGGAAACAGGTATTACGTACCACGCATCAATTATTCAGGCAAACGATTTCAATTAAACAGGCATTATGCGTCATGCGTCAGGCATCTCTAGTGCACGTAAACGATTGTAAGCTAACATACATTACACATCAAGCCACATATGTTCGCATAATTGGCCATGATGAGCTCTGTACGTGAAGGTGTGATTGCGGACTTTTTATACGAAAAGATTCGCCTATTTTCCAGTCTAGAGGGTCCTGTGCTCCGTAGATGACTTGGAGTTGGAAAAGGGGTAGAGGGCCCATACCTCCGTGGATTTCAGCCTGAACGTGTTTGCCAAAAATGGTCACCGAAAGGGGTATTCCCTGTTTGGTTTTAGCGTCTCGTAGGTGTTTATTATCTATCAAATGAAGATGGTGCATGGACTCCCGGACATAGACTGTATCCCTCCCATGTTTTTTTTTTTTACACAATTTAAGCGTAACTTGGTGAACCACTTTTTTGCGCACAAACCCCTTGAAACCCGGCCTTGTATAAATGACACCTATTGTCACCCGGGCACCGAAGCCTCGACATGGAAGACTTCATTAGAGCCTTTTGTAGTTTATTTACGTTCTTCCAAGCTATGTGTACGCGCACGTTTGGTTTTACATCGATATGTTATATTTTCCAAAGCAAGTGGTTATCAATGTAATGTGGTGTTAAAAATCCGTCGTCCGACAGGACGCCTTCCCGCCTCCTACCACTTATGCTCCCATTCGTTCTAGATTTGTTTTACCTTTTCCAACATTCTACTTAAAAGTGGGGCAGAACTTCCATTGCCCAACAGCAAAGTCCATATGTTGTGTGTGCTCTTTCTTTCCCTTTCAGTACTTGATGGGTTGTTTTGAGGCGGATGAAACATGCTGCGAATTATGTGGTGTTTAGTGAAAGCTGGATGCGTTGATTCGCGGTGCACAATTATACCAGAGTTGGTGGGCTTTATAAATAATTTCCGTTTCTGACGTGCGATCGGTCCACTTTTACACCATCATTAGAGTATCCAGATATGGGACCACCTTTCCGTCCCCTGTATGCTCCATCGCAAAGGCTAAATTTGTATGCCGGTTGTTCATGAACTCTATCAATTCTTCGAGGGTACGTTGTCCGTCGTCGTCAATGGTACGTTGTCATGATCATCGATGTATCTAGCTAAGAAAGTTGGATTTACTGGGCAGGTGGTTAGGGCCTTTGTTTTAGAATGTATTAAGAATATTGTCGCCAGAGGAGGAGCGCATGTGTTCCCCATCGCTATCCCCAATTGCTGTCGATAGAAGCCATTTCCGAACGAGAAAACAGTATCCTGGATACACCGCTCTAAAAGACCGCAAATATATTTTTTGATAGACCGAAAGCGATAGTTTTGGATAAAGCATGGTGCCGAGGTCAACACATTATCTCTCTATCCTCCTTGTTTTTTTTTTACGAGGATTAAGGGTATTCCTGCTACATAATGTATATGCACAATATTCCTCGCAAATGTACGTACCAACTTACATAATTTTGAACTGAACAGTAGCCGTCAGAAAGTGCAAGTTAAAACTGCCAAGAACCCACATAAACTAGCTAACTTCTGCGACTGCGACTAACTTCTGCGAACTTTGGTAAGGTTTTACTGGACGAGGCAGGCATGACAACTTTTCGAAAGAAGACCTATTTAGAACGACAATGCTCACGCTTGTTTGAACCAATCTCATCTATCCTGGAGCACAAGAGATACGCTTACATATGGGCGATGTGTGAACGAGTTTTTGACGATTCGCTCAAACATCGTGCGGACTTATTTTTGACTTCTTTGACACCGCTCGCGAGAGTAGACCAAGACTTGTTAAAAAGTTCACGCAGCTTCAAGCTAAGCGCCAGGTGAACCCTTGCTATGAAGAACTGGTTGACAGTCAAACAAGTCAAAAGAGAGTGAATGATTTATCGTCCGTAGACTTTAACTCCGCGTGATACAATCTTCTAGCCAAAGGCCCGAATTTTGCGCAGACGCAGTCAGCATCTGAGAACATTTTACTTGAAGTAGAAAAAGTAGTTGAGCGTTTTTGCTCATGGGAAACGGTGGAAGGACTTCGTCTCAGAGTTGCGTGATGGCAGAAACACATCTAGTACTGCGACTGCGCCGGGTCAAGATCGACCAGCTTCAACAGACGGCGCAGCAGCACCATCAAGACCGGCAAACGCACTTTGTGGCGGCCTCCTTGGGACAGGCGCAGAAAATCGCAGCAAATGCCAGTCTCATCGGGGTCGCATCTCGAATCTGTCGTTTAGATTTCCAGATATCGGTAAGAACTTTTCGGAACCTTCTAGTCCCGATCTGGAAGTCAGCGTACATAAATTAAAGGACAACGAACTGCGCACGTTCAAAAACCATAAAGTAGGCTATGTAAATGTGTCTGCAAATCAGCGGAACGTTATGAGGGACCTTAGCAAAATTGGTGACAGAATAGTTAAACAGAACGACAAGTGTAAGGGCCTTGCAATCTTAGATAAGCTAACTCATGTGAACAAGACTCAGGCTATACTTAACGACGGAGATAGGTTTGATAAACTATGAAAAGCAAAGTTAGCGGAAACCTTTCGTACAAAACCATCAGAAATCTAACACATAGACACAGTGGAACGCCTATGTTCTATGGGCTTCCTAAGGATCACAAACCTGCAGTGCCCCGTAGACCCGACATATCTGCGTGCGGTGATATTGCAGAAAAAACTTTGTGTCTAGACTAGCAGCAGTTGCTGCTAGTCTAGCAGCAGTTGACAGAAAGACTAGCAGTTGCCCCTTGCCTAATTCCCTGGATGTTGGTGACCTGTAAAAACTGTGCCTAGCTATTTTTTTTTTTTAATGAAAAATCTAGTAGAATCACCGGCAGGCGATGGAGTTAGTACTGCTCTTTGTTTCGATAAAGACATGCTGCCGAAATATTTACGCATCTACATCTCTTTTCTTGTTTGTTTGTCTTTCTACGAGAAATAAGGCTATAACTATTGTCTCGTCTGTAAACAAGTAGTCTCGCAGAACACGTGCGATAGTTCATGGCAATCTGAGCACAACTCTTATTGAAGTAGGTCTTGCGAGCCAACACGACGGACAAGTAGCCTTTCCGAACACAAGTATTGGTGAGCTGGGCAGTCTGAACGTATTGAACGCAGGATTTCAGAACATAGGCCAGAACGTAGCCTTTGAACGTAGACTCGGGAGCGTATATATTTCAAGTGTTGGCCCTCTCAAACCAGGCCTTCTGTGTCCAACCCAGATGTGGACTCCTTCAAAACACATCTTGCTGGTCGTTGTGTTCACTGGTTTGCATTGCAGGCGATGCCATGAACCAAAGTCATCCGATGTTTGAGGATTACGAGGACTTCTGCCGAGTCGGGCCCGGCACGGACAAGCCATGGACTGTTGGTGAGAGGACTCGGTCGGAGAGCGCCGAATCTTACTGCCAGCAGTCGGCGGTGCAGGGAAGCTAACGTGTTGTGGGGACATGGGCGAACCTTACTACTTTATTTTTACAACCCTTTTGTGTGGCGAGTCGTCGCCAAAAAATGATACGAATATGGTGGGCTTGTCTCTTTCGTCCAATTACTAGCTATGCTCTTGATTCGTTTTTACGGCCAGCTCTGATACGCTCCATGACAGCTTACTCCGAAAGTCGCTGAACTTTCCGAAGCCCAAACGGCGTTTTACCCGGCGCTGTGTTGTGTGCGCCAGGCACGGAGATGCGTCAAGTAATGATGTTCGACGACCGTCTGAACAGCCCGCGCAGCTTCCGACGCATCCTCATCGACGACGTGGAGCGGCGTCGCTTTGTGCTGGACGCCGACGTGGTGGTAAGTTAGCCCCGCTGAAGAGCAGGTGGAGGTTGGTATTTCGATCGCTGGTGCCGACACTCCGGCTGCTTTTCTGGTCACCTGTGCCGGTCGGTCCGGCCGCTGTTTCCGCTGCGATGCCGTGACTGACCTTTAACTGTGGGGTAACTTTAGCGTCAAGGTCATGAAAACTGTTAGAAGAGTTTGCTCACCTCTTAACACTCGTTGGATGCACCGGGCACGACGCAAAATGTGGCGGGCGTCTGACGCTTGTGCCGTTGACTGCGTCGACTCGTGAGTGATCCGTTGCCTGCCGACTCCGGCCTTCGCACGCGCTCAGCGCGCGACCTCTGACGCCGCCCGCCGCCGCAGAGCCAGACGCTGGAGCTGGCGCGCTCGCCGCCGCCGCTGGACGCTGCAGGTCAGCTGGTGGCGTCTCCGGTCGGCGGTCGGCGCCGCATCGACCACATCCTGCACCGGCGGCGGCCGGCCGTGCGCGTGGGCGACTACACGTTCGTGGCGGCGCTGGGCGGCCTCACCGACCACGTGCCCGTCTGCATGACGATCGAGACGGCGTGAGCGGCGCCACGCGCCAAGTGACGGCAGGACGGCCTGTGACGCGCGGCGGACCAGACGTAGAGAGGCGAGCGTGGTGGCGCAGCGGCGCTGGAAGACCCGACGGAGCCCGCTGTTCTGCGCAGCCGCGTGATGGGTGGTCCACGAACTAGCCGGCTGGGGCCCGCCGAGGGAGAGCTGGTGGAGTTCGCTGGCCGACCGGACACGCGGGCTCAATGCAATGTTTAAAAGTGCGTGTTAATGAATAGGTAGAAGTTGACGCATCTGAACAGTTGCCTGCTATGAAATAGGTAGTGATGGACAGCGGAACAGCAACAAAGGCCGGACATTCGGCGTTTTGCTTTGCTTTGGTAGGTTTGCATGTTCAGCGTGTTCTAGGCTCTCACAGTTCACAAAACGGCATGTGGCTGGTATGAGTAGCGATTGTAAATATCACCGGCGTTTGTGGTATGACAGCATTTTCCAGATGACGTGTTCTAACAGGCTTCATTTATATCCACAGAATAATTGTGGAAGGAAGAGCGGGGGGGGGGGGTGTTGTGTTGCCACCAAATGAAATGATGCGCTGTTCACGCCGCAGAAATTTGTAAATGGGTAGAAATGCGGATTCGTAACATTTAAAACTAGTTCTAGTCATACTTATGCGTAGTACCTCGTTGTGTACCCATCAGGGTTTGATTCTGTGATAACTATTTCAGCCAAAGGTATGCCATCTGTTTTGCACCCTCTGCGACGATCCTCATTCCACGCGACTTACGCTGGACCTTACGCTCGCATGACACGTTTATGCTTCGATGTAATAACGGGTTTGTTTATTCACGATCGCGTACGTCTTATATGCTCCGGGGAATGTTTTGGTTCGCATGTTCGCAGGAGCTCAATCGTTCTCACTGTGTCACGGTGTTACTGGCATGCATGTGGTCTTTGTGATCTCGTTCCCGCAATACACCAGTAATGGGCCTTGTGCGGCGTGGTACGAGCTGAACAATAACAGACGTGGAACTCCAGTCGTTATAGAGATTATAGGTGATGCCAAAAAACAGTAAACCAAGCAATTATGTAGCTTCTCACAAATAGGATTGGTTGAAAATTGACTGGCGGTGGGACCTTTTGGATCGACCAAGTTACAGCGATAAATCTAAGCGACTATAAAAACGATTGTGAACAGCGGAAATACTTTTGGGACGGATGTTGGTTGTAATCGTTGTTATTGGTTGTAATGACAGTAACGGTGAATGTTATTGGTTGTAATGATGTCCACGCTTGCAATTAATAGGACTACGCGTGTAATTTTAACGGCCCAATCGTCGGTGTAGGGAATGTCGTTCCTGCCTGGTCTACTGCTGGACGGCTAATAAGCTGAATAGTGTTGACGTTTTCGGTGTTCTGGCTGGTATATTGGTCTACACTGACATCTAATGTCTTAAACGTGCCGTCCGCTTGCGATGCGGAGGTTATAGTGACTGCTGTTTTTCCAAGTGCGTTTCCAAATTGTTAAAGGTTTGTGCATTAAAACTTGACAACTTACCTACAAATTTGTTTCACATCATATTTCAGATTTAGGGGGCGGGGAGCACGCCACGACGAATCACTGTGCGTTCGACGCGAATGTCTGATGGTTCTTTACGTCCAGTGACACAGTCAGGACTTCGTCCGGGCGCACGGAACCCGTTCAACCAAGTGGCCTCGCTTACTATAGGACCCTGTTAGGTACTCGGGGACCTCCTAGGATCGTGGTGGTATTTTGATGCATCGCTGACCCGGTGTCCCGTTTTGGAAGCTCCTCGTAAACGCAGTTTTTAGGCGCCTTAAGCAGCCAAAAAGCATTTCTACCCTCTGTCCCGGCTTGCCATCTCCAGCTGGTGGGGTGGAGCATAGCCCCCCCCCCCCCCCCCTCCCACTCCCATGATCACGCCACCGGCTATATTCTGTGACCGACACAGGAGCCTCCCGTTCTATCACTGACCTCAAACATTGCAAATCACGGGTCTCAGCCTTGTTCCTGCTTGAGAAATGGGTCTCCGAGGTTCAGACCGACACAGAGCCGACTGCTTAGCTGCGTTTTTAGGTCGTGTAGAATAGGAAAAGAGGACCCTAATAGGAGGGACCTTAGCGAGGCCCTCTGTGACCGACACAGGGGGCATGTCCCCCCCCCCCCCTGTGTCGGTCACTTACATTTCAGGTCACGGTACTGCGGGCAGAGGGTCAGGCATGGGTCCAATCGGTCACCACGGGTCGGACCGGCACAGAGACGGCTGTTCGGTGTTCGTGTCTCTGGCCGAAATACAGGCCCACACTGTTCCAGTGGTCCCCAGTCGGTGCAAGAGACCCTTTGACTGATATTTCATGACACGGCGCTACGGGCTGGGATCCTTCATGTGAAGCACAGCGAGCCCTTCGGGTCTGTACGCCCCGTGATCGGGCCCTTGATCGTCGGTTCCTGTGGCGGGTTCCGGTAGTTCCGGTCATGACTGCCCTCGGGGTCACCTTGCGGCCTCTGCGAACATTGCTCTTTATCGGGACGGGGCCTCTTGCCAACATACGACTCTTGTAGGCGCAGTGTGGGCCTCTGACAGACAAAGACGTCTAGACCAACGTAAATCGTGGCCCGGCTCTGTCGTTTCTAGGGAAGTGGGCCTTCAGGCCCATACCGACACGGAGCCGACTGCACGGTACATTGGTAGAGCCTGACCGACACACCGGCCCTTGTATCGACCCAGAGGTCCCCGATCGGCGCAAAAGGCCATCTGACTGTCATTTCATGGCCCAACCCCGCTGAAGCGGACAGCTCCGATCAGCCCCCCGTATTCTTGGGCCCACCGATCTGGCCCTCGACCACTGTTTCCGGTGTGCGCTGCACTCTTTTCGGGCCTCCTCGAGCTCTGCCTCTGGTCGACTCAGGCTCCTTGTCAACACGGGCTTTCATAGCGCGCACACATAGTGTTAAGCACTATGTGTGCGCCTGACAAATGTTGGGAACTCGATCAATTTAAACCGCTGGCCCCAGCTGTGTCGCTCGCTGGCCTCGGCTTTGTCCCTGCTTGGGAAATGAGCCCCGAGGCCAATGCCAACACGGAGATGACAGCACAGTAGCGGTGGTGTCCGACTAACATACTGACCCTTATCCACTCGGCGGCCCGCGATCAGCGCCAAGGGCCCTCTCCCAGCTTGAACCCCTCCCTGGGGTCCAGGGGCCCACCACCCTTGGACCCCAGGATCCCAAAATTTCCGGTTTTCCGGGACTCGGGGACCGTACCCCCGACCCACACAGTATCTCCAGCCCTAGGAGATACCATAGCAGGGACAAAGCCAAGAGGGTACCCCTTTACGTTCACATTTTTCGCTGTAAATATCTCACAACAAGAGCAGTTCAAAAACCGGCGTGATGCCTATACCGAACTCCTCCCTACCTTCATGAAATCATGGTTGGTCGCCTTGATCTTTTAAAAAAAGGGTCACTGACCTTGAATGAAAGCATCACCTTTTGCTTAGAACAGGCATGTAGGTTCACGGTAGTTGCGCTAAAAGGTCGGGGTCGCTCTGGACACCAATCTGAGGCTTGACCTCGTCTGACCTTATTTGACCCCAAGGGCATGACCTAGGAACCTCAAATTTGGGCATAAGTGAGTTCACATGCGGCCAACCCGCTCCGTGAATTTGGTTTGTCTAGCTATCTTATCGAGATCTCAGGAGGGGGAGGGGTCAAACTGACCCTCCACCCGAGCGAAGGGTATTCAACCGGCAACTCGGGCGCGTGTTGAACGAAGAGTGAGACCGTCAATGCAGATAACTCTTCTGGATAATGCGCACTGGCAACCTCCCATGATTCGACACGTATACGACGCAAGAATTGGAACAAACGCATCGTGGCGACGAACGCGATCTCATCCCGGAGGTGCCCACTCCGATCCTCCGGACCAAAATGTAGGGAAGACAGGGCAAAATAAGGCACCCTGATAAAACGGGCACCCCGCGATTTCGGCTGTTAGAGGTGGCACTATCAGAAATAAATGGTTTAAACTAAACCTTCTCTGACAGGGGACGGAAGTGACGTGCACCGGGTCTTTCTGTCGGCGGCCGTCGTTGGAGGAGGACGTGAGTTTTCGCCTTCCATTTTTTGTTATTATTTTTATGGTGATTTGAACGTTGTTTATTCTACGAGTATAATGAATGGTGAATTCAAAGTTGCTGCGCTTTGGTGGTGTGTGCATGCAGATTCCTTGTGAGCAATTGTGAATTTTTCGGGCCAGTTTTAGTTGCGTGCCGAATCATGTTGTGTTGTTGGCGTCCATGGGGCAGAATGGTTGGGGCAAAATGGGCAGTCGGGGGAAAATAGGACATAAGGGGTCCCGTTTTGCCCCACCTGAAATATGACTATCGCAAGGAAGGTTTGGCTTAAATAAGCCCTGCGCACAATGTTTCAATGGTAGTAGCAGGCACATGAGTAGAGCCCGAAACAACTGAATCGATACTGTTTCAGTTCTATGATTGAATAGTGTTCGAACTACTGCGCCAAATTGGGAATGTGCGGCCCTGCGATTTGTCGCTTGTAATTTATTGAAGGTGCGCATGTGACAGCTCTGTATCCATCGTTCCTTTTAGACCTAATTTATTGCAGTTATGTTGTTTAACAAAGCTTATTTGTGAACTTAAAAATTGTAAGTACTTACCTGTGATGACTTCCTTCAGTATCACGCATTTGCCCATCTCTTTGATAACCTCTATAACTTACTTGTTAGCAAACGAGAAACGACTTCCGGCCGACCCGTGATGAAAAAAGTATCTTAAAAAGTAACTTAGGCTATGAAAAAGGCGAAGAGTTAATACATTTTTGGTCATTATCGCTTAAAACTCACAGTACATTTCGTAATTTTCCGTACATTTAAAGGACGTATTTCTCTGCATACACAACCACTGGCGTAAGTACTAACGCATAGGTATTGTGTCTGACAGAACTGGCGTAAAAAATAAGTTTAGTTTTCTTTTCTCTGCTTATGAGCAAGACCCAGCAGATTGTAGTAAGTTTTAATGTTTATTTATCATGTTGTGGCCAGAAACGCTGCTAACTGCAGTGAAGTGGGAAAAAGCCTTACATTCCCTTTTAACATATGCGATTCAACGTTTTGTTTTTAA